TAAGTTAAATAAATAAATTCAGTTTGAGGTGTGAAGTTTTAAAAGTCCCCTGTGACTTAAGAAACTCCAGCAACTCAAGTGAAATGATTCCTCCAGCATGTGGTATTCCTGCCCTTTCAGTAGAAGCAACTAAGTCAAAGAGAAGAGAATGAAGGCCAGTTACACGTGCCATTTGACACCTTCAAAGCACTGATCACTACAATAATATATGCAATACTCCAATTGCATATACTCGACACTAGAAACCCAGTTTTCAAAGTGGTTATGTAAGTAAAAACACTAGATTCTGAAATCATGCTCTATGTTATCTGTTGACAATATTTAAGACTGTCCCAATAGTAGACATTCACTGCTTTTATATAATGGAAGACATCAGAAAAAAACACAATGTGTTTGCGTTAATATTAAAGTACATGCATGATACTTATGCCTGTAGATTAGAAATCTAGACCTGATGAAAGACACCAAGAAAAAGCAAAATATCTAGGCACAAATATGATATTACATTACACTGATTGCAAAGATGCCAAAACACTTCATTTGTACGTTCCTTTTGTATCAAAGTATTAATTTAAATATTGTAGTCATAGCAGCATGATTCGATGGCCAGGACAAGTTACAAGTCTGAAGTAATAAAGAAAGGACTGTCACCATTCTCTAACCTTTCGTCCGTCTTGTTGTCCATTTCACAAATTCATCTTCATATTAAAACCCTGAGCAACATGTAATTGCTCTGAACTGCAGTGTTCAATCCACCCACTAGATCTGAGACCAATGTCACTGTAAAACTGTCTGTAAAGGAGTGTTCCCATAATCCTAAACTCTGGTAGATATTAAACAGCTTCACCAAGGTTTTCATTTTTTTTCATGAAAATCACTTTTTTATGTACTGAAGACTGGCTGCAAAAACTGTAAAATTATGTGCAACTGAGTGGGAGATGATCCTGGAAGTGTGGGATGCTTAATTACATATGAAGAGGAAATTACACTGGTTTTCTTTTTCCCTCTATACAAAGGTTTGTTTAACCACTTCTAACTCTGTTATCCTGAGCAATCTACTATTTCTGTGATTTAAGGTTTACTTTATTAAATATATTTTTACCTCTTCTTCTAATGTTCTTCAAATCATTACCGCTTCTATCATTAACCCACTGACACACAAGCCCGTTACAGAGTGAAGACAATCTTTCCAAGAGTGCTTTTTACCTGAGACAACTAAGTAATATTTCATTGTTCTAAGCATTAGGCCAAATTATTAACCAGTTTCATGCTTATTTCTCTGAAGTTGTAATGAAAAAATAGCAATGTTTTTCAGTAATATAGCAATTATTCTGGAAAGAACATGTCCAGAAGTACAAACTACATACATATTTTTAGAGTACACCATTATTTGTTTAACCTACCAGCCTTTAGGTTCTGATGTTATGCTCTGAACTGTAACACAAACCTGCAAAACTTAATACAAACATCTACTTGCAGAACAAAAATATCCAGATACAAAAATTATAGTCACGAACTAACTGCCCAAATGCATGCTGGCAGTAGAACTTACAAGTGACCCTAAGAATACTATTCCATACAATTTTGAATGAAGGAGAATGTCTATTATGGGCAAATGCTATTGAAAATTGTATACTTTTCACGAACATTAGTTACACAATTAACTTACAAGCTCTTCAGAAAGCAATGAACCTTTCCAACAAACTACGAGTTAAATAGATCAGGGTAATATTCAGGCAGCAACACTCACAAACACTAGATAGGAAAGCACATCATGCTATTTTTCAGTACCACTCTTTACTGCTTATGGAAAGCAATACGGTTTCAGTAGGCCTTTCCTGATGAAGAAGAAGTAGCCCAATTCTGAAGAGATCAGTTACAAAACAAGTGGTTTCAGACACCTCCAGAAGGTGAAAAAACACAAGATACACACATATATATGCAAACATTCCTCCTATTTTCCCGTTATTTTAGACTATTACTTACTATTTCTATCAGGAGAAAACCCCTACTCCTAGCTTAGTGTCTTAAGATTCTGAAAAAAAGTCAGATGTATATCATGTTTACTACTCAGAATGTTAGATTAGTATCATGGCAATTCTGAGATTTATTTTTAAAGGTACTTCTCAATGGGGTAAGAAGGAAAAACCTTATACCCTCCAATTTAAGCTGAATACAATCATCATTTGTTTATTTATAAAAATTGTCAGAGTAATAGTTCTAGTAAATACTTAAAGAAGAGATCTCGTTTTTCTAAGATTGTGTAGAGAATGCAATACATTAGAAGAGCTTAGGCATCAGAAATATTTAAAATCCGTTAAGTTTTCCATAGCAATCGCTATTAACCACTATGAAACTTACAACAAAATAAAAAATTTCATTAGCAAAATCTGATTCTTGTATACAAATGTTGACAATGTATTTCTAGAGTGCAGAATGTCCCTCTCTCCCTTCCACTCTCCCTTGCTTGCATAAAAGATGCCATAGTCCTATGAAAAGTCCTAAGGGAAGTTTTAAAAGTCCTAAGGGAAAAGTTTCCTATGGTCTTTGAAATGCCTCCTTTTCCTATTTCTTTACAGATTTCTAGCAACAATACTGTCCCTGTAGTTTCTCAAACAAGGCAAAAACTAAAATACCCTCTAGATATCATCTTTAGATTTCCTATTATACTTCTCAGGTTCCTTTTGGCTTTTGAAATAAATGCAAACTGAAATCTACAGTTATATGACCAACTGTATTTTAATTTTAGTTAATCTTTCAGCATGAAGAAATAGATGGTATTTGACTGCACTATTGCCCATACCTACAAGAATCATACACAGATGCGATCTAATGAATAAAATAACCTGAAAATAGTTTTTGTTTGGTCATTTTTTTTTGTCTACTTGTGGTTTTATTGAACTGTAGGTACAAAAAAAGCACTGCTTCAGGTTCCTATCTCTATGATAAAAAGTACAGGGCAAGGAGCTACCACCTATCTATATGAAAAATTTACTGCAACATGAACCATGCCTCCATTTCTCCCTTTTGAAGCAAATATTTGAACATAATTATTCCAAGCTAGGGATTCCATAATTTTCATAGCAAAATCAAGCTGGATTTTAGGACACTTTTTATGTCATAATATTGATTGAGCAGTTAGAGATGTGGCCATGGACAATTCAAGCTATTCAGAGATCTACGGTCATACTATGATGGGTTAGAAACTTAACTTTGAGGTAGTCTGTCTACTTTAACAGACCTAAATATGGAACCAAGCATTGCTCCATTGCCTACTTCCTAAAGTAAGAGCTATGTGCTCTGTGTTCAGTTTTGGGTCCCTCACTACAAGAAGGACACTGAGTTGCTGGAGCGTGTCCACAGAAGGGCAATGAGTCTGGTGAAAGGTCTAGAGCACAAGACTTATGAGGAACGGCTGAAGGAACTGGGGTTGTTTAGTCTGGTGAAGACGAGGCTGAGGGGAGACCTTATTGCTCTCTACAGCTACCTGAAAGGCGGTTGTAGTGAGGTGGGTGTTTGTGTCTTCTCCCAGGTAACTAGTGATAGGACAAGAGGAAATGGCCTCAAGTTGTGTCAGGGGAGGTTTAAACTGGATATCAGGAAAAGTATCTTTGTTCAAAGAGTGGTCAGACATTGGAATAAGCTGCCCAGGGAAGTGGTGGAGTCACCATCCCTGGAGGTGTTCAAAAAACCTGTAGAATATGGCACTTCAGGACGTGGTTTAGCAGGCAAGGTGGTGTTCGGTTGACAGTTGGACTTGATTTTAGAGGTCATTTCCAACCTTAATCATTCTATGATTCTGTATGGCACAGGAGCATTTTCCACCATGCAAGTGATGCAGGATATGAGTTCAAATTGTGTCTCCTGCATATAGGTCTTTTCCTGTATTTTCGTTTCATTGTTATCCTTGACTCTTCCTCCACCATCTCTAAGATCATTCTTGCTATGTAGAATTACGGTAAGAAAACATCACAACATTTCATCTAATCCTAGGCAAGAGTCACTCTACAAACTACACTCTAGGAAGCACTGAATATCAATGCAGGGAATTATCTGGTATCAGAATCTGAAAATCTACTCAGCACAACCATCCATTTCTAGAAATATGAATCTTGAATTCTTCTATAAATTTCAGCCTGCTGCATGTCAAGATGTTAAGAGTTATTGTTCTGCTGCATACTTTTGCTCAGAATTCATTGGAAAAATAAACACTTTCCACTGCACTCTCTCCCAACCACCTTTGCTTACTACTGACGGTAATGAAATGTCATGCAACCTATGCCAGAAGTTTCTATTGTGTGTAGTGTCCCCACATTGCTTGCACCAATTTGAACAAGCATGTTTTGTATTTAAAATGCTCATACAAATACTAAGTCTGGCAACTGGTAAGTACTATAGTCCTCTTTAATAATTCATATCCACAAAATGATGATAGGTGTCAATACTTCATTCTTAAAGTACTTGTATTCAACACATGCACGATTATGGAGGACTTAAACTCAGAGCAAAAAGATTTGTGAAAAGGCATATGACCTTCTTCCCACTACAATGGCCATCCCCTAATTAAGCAATGCATCTGATAGTCATTAAAAGGAATGAGATAATGAATCACTTTCTCTCTTCTTTGTTAATTTGCTGTAACCAAGCGGCTAATGGATGTCAGAGCTGAGTGATTGCACTGATTATAGTGATTTATAGTTGCAACAAAACAATTTAAAACCATTCTGATTATTCATGTTAAAGATGCTTTATGTTTTGTTTACTAAATGTTTTATGTTCCCCCTCATGCCCCTCTACACACAATCAGACAGGTCTTCCTGGAAAACTGGAAAGTTCTAAGATTTTTTATTGTTTCAGAGTAAGGCATTTCATTTTGTTTATAAAAAAAAAGTTTACCCAGTAGAAATGAAAAGCCTTAGGGTGGAAAGAAAACTTCAGTGGTACCTAGTTCAAAAGAAGACGGAAATAAGAGGAAATAAGGCAAACTTCAAGCCACTTACCTTAGGGCTCCCAGTCTCTTCCTCATTCTCTGCAGACACATCACTAGCCAGTATCTCTGCTTTGATGATATCCAGAGCCCTAAGAATCCAGCTGTGTTGCCGTTTGATTTGCCTCTGTAGTTCCGTCCATTGACTTGCAATCATCTGCAGCATGTCCTTCAGTCCTTCTCCAAAATGAAGGGGAAATAAGTAAAAGCTGTAAACTCTGCTGCATCTTTAAATATTATTCTTTATTCAAAGAATTAGTAGGATATTTAAAAGAATAATTGCAACAAGGATTTTAATGTATTTTCTCAGCAATAAATCCAAGTATTACTATCATTCATATTGCAAAACAATGCTATAGGGTCAAAATATTTCTTTTAGCCATCATGTTAAATTTTGATTATGTTTCAGGTGACAATTTCAAGAAAAGGAAAATCCCACATAAACCGAGATTTCTATGCAGTAGGGAACGCTATAGTAATCTCACCCTCTAGTATCTAGTCTTCATCTCAAAACATTTAATAATATTCAAATGCATTTTTCTTACCTCCAACTCCTATAAATATTTTCTGTCATTTACACGTTATCATTTTCTAAGTATATGATGACATGCACTACCCTTCTCTGCTACAGCTTCTATACCTTTCTGGAACTATACACAGAAGTCACTAATTTCCTATAGCTTTCACATTACACAGATCTGTCTGATGCTGTGAAACAATAGAGGCACAATAAGTGTAACATGATCAGAAAACAGTAGACCGAAGGATGACTACTTCAACCTGGATGAAAAGCATGCTAAGCAGGCCAAAATTAACATGGCATTCTGTAGCAGTATATGCTGATTAAAACCCTATTATCATACAAGTCACGCAAACATCTAAAAATATAGGGGGTAGTGGGGATAGAGAAAGGGAAATCAGTATATCTCTCCCCCTCCTCTTGATTTAAGGCCTCTGCAGAAAAACACAAGCCAAACCAAAGCAAAAAGGTATTTTTAATTTTAATCTATTCCCCATAAACATATTAAAATTGATGTAAGAATTAGTTTAAGTGGCAAAATAAAGCTTTACCAATGGAATTACCCATGCAGAGTATGTAAATACATATATATTTGAAACCCTAATTCATTATCTTAATGTTATTTCCATAGCACCTACATCAAAGAATGTGTCAGTGTGAAGTTTTCAGTGATGTGATTTCAATTGAAACTCAGCTGAGCAGCAAGACCAAAATAAAATGAACAGACTATTTGCAGGCAGTATTTCATTTTATGAGTATCACTGCATTGTATGCAGTATATGAAACATTTATAAATCTTGAAGGTCAATCTGATAATGTAAATATTAATAATACATAAGGAAGTGAATATATGCAGTAATTTACAGCAATGCTTCTTCATTCTTTAATAGTCTGGAGACATAAAGACTTGCAATATTTCAGAAGGATTTACCTGATTTGTGAGATACAATAAGCTCAAGAAGTTGACGTCCTTCTTCTACCACCGCTTCTTTTAAAGCACAGTGGCTATCTACATTCAACTTAAAACTCTGCAAAAAAAAAAAAAAAAAAAAAAAAAGAGAGAAAAAAATCTTCAGTATCAGACATTGAGACACTGGAGAGGCAGTTATCATAAAACACACGTACAAAATTACTTGCTCCTTTTTATCAAGAACCACATCCCCATTTACCCAATAGCCAAACTAATTTGTGATACTAAAAGCTATTGATATTTTGGATCTGGGCTCAAAATGTTTCCATTAGATCAGCAAAGTGCATCTGTGTTGAAACAGCTGACAAATCTAGAAATTCATTAGGTTTTATGAAAAGTCACAACCCGTAGGCTATATCTGGAGTAACAGTGTTCTATAAAATACACTAAATTTATGCCACCACATATGAGCTCTGTTTTTTTCAGATTTCTTTGAAATGTTGGTGATAGCACTATTTATGAAACCATAAAAAAAATTACAGCATTGAATATATTGGCCTTATGTGCACTCATACAAATCTATTAATATTGTGTTTCTGAGTTAACTCTCATATCCATTTTCAAAGAACAAATCAGATCGCTTTAGATCTCTGCATTCTTCATTTGCAAAGCAAAAATTTTTCATCCTTTTTTGCACTAATATTTTTTCCAGTTTACAAAGGATCTCTGCTTTAACAGTGATTAAAATATTTTGTTTCTTATTTTAATTTTTTTTTTTTACAAATGGCACTAAAATCTAGTAATAGAGAGAGGAAATGGAAACATGATCTACTATATGTTATGACATTTCATACACCACTAATAACTTGGATAAATTTGTGAATTATTTACCAGAGCTTCTCACTTACAGTTGTGTGTAAGAAAGAGAAATAAAATACAGTAAAGGAAGGGGTACTTGCTGTATTTAATCATAAAGCATGTGCAGCCCTGAACACACACATGCAACTCTTGTGCTCTTTGAAATGTCTACAGAATGAATGAAAACAATATTTGACCCTGTCGAAGAAAAAAGTTTTGCCTTCTCTTGGGAATGAGTTAACTGGCAGAGATGAAAGGAGACTTTGCAAGTGCACATTTGCAGCTTCTGGTTTTTATAAAACTTCTTTATACTTCTCCAAATACTAGTGACCATACCAATAGTGAAGTAGCAGACATCACAAAATACTCAAAAGCCCTCATTCCTTAGGGAAGCGACCACTTCCTTTCTTTCCTAACTCCTGTAGTCAGGCTGACTGGCGTAGCAGAAAATAATATTGCCAGAACTGTAATAAAATTATGTTCTTTTACTGTATTTGTCATGGTTGAAAGAGGAACGTTGCTCAGACAGACTCTTAACAGTCTTTCAGGCAGCAGTGTACCTGACAGTTAGTGACTGAATGTTTTTGAGAATTCTCCATTGAAATAAAGAGCAATAAACAGGAATTTTGCTACCTTCAGCATTTAGTCTAGCCCAATTTTCCTTGTATGGGCATCTGAATATATTGTTTTGTACCAGCTGTTGAACAACTGGGTCAGCCAACAGAAGTTAAAAAGGAAAAAGGATGCTTAGTTTATGTCTGGCCCTTTCTTAAATCTAGAGTTTTATGAACCCAAATCTAGAAGTTCTTTTTCCTTCGTAAGAGTACGTCTGAACAAGCACTGACAATATTTAATTTACTGTTTACTTAAAACAGGCTTGTACTGAATAGTTTGTAATCATGCACTTCACAGGAAATGCGCTATGCATGTGCCTCACACAGCAAAAGAGAACCTAAAGGACCTGAGAGTAGGTTGTGTAATTTCATATAATTGAAGTTGAGTATAGATGCAGCTGGATGTGGCAGTGTCTTGAGATGATGTGGATCTGTTTGATAGGAAAATTGGAAAAGATGAGGTATTCTTTTGCATTAGGAAAAAAAAAGAGGCTTGCTGTCCTAGAAAAGATTCATTTAACATAACGCACCAGATACTACAATACAGCTTGATTTTCAGGTGCACCTATTAACCAGTAATAATGTTAAACTGAAGAAGCAAAATATGATGAATAAAGATGGGGCCAAACTTTTGGGTTTTGACTAGTAATATTCTCCTTGTGCAAAATTCTGATTTCATGGATAAATTATGCGTGGCACAAATACCATGAACATACATGAAATTTAGCAGAAACAAACTCTTATCAGCACAGAGTCATCAAAACGAGGGAACCATTCATGTAAGTACAAATACAAATAGAAGCGAAGGAAATTGTCAGTTGATGTAGTAAAGTATGAGTTTTGGCTTTAAAATTATATGTGTATATATAATTTCTTATGAGGGGCAATTTCCTAAGAAAAAGGAACAAATGGACAGTGGACACTGGAAAGAATAGCCCTCAATCAGTGCACCAGTGCATCAGCGCTCGTGGTTCCGCATACCTGCAGGGCTGAAAATGTGACACGCGAAAAAGGCAGACAGAATTGAAGATGTAACAAGTATTACACGTATATACAATCAAGAGATGCAAATTTGCACAGCTAAAGACAAAATCAGGCCAAATATTTGGAATGGAGGAGGACCTTCAAACACAGAAGACCTCTCCCATCCTGGATATTTCTTGTTCCCTTCTGTTTACTTAGGGCATTTGGAAAATTGCAACTCTAACAGCGTAGGACCCAGGTACTCTGCTCCCCTCCTCCTCTGATCTTCCCTGATAATGAATGGAGCCTTTGCATCTGAGGAGAGGGAAAGGAGAAGAGGGGGGAAGTCAATTAATCAAAGCCTTTTTTCCAGACACGTTTGCAGCTATGGAGCAGTCTAACTATCACACACGAGCACATATACATTATGGAAAATGCATGTGCATTGGCCTGACAGCTGCTTTTTAAACAACACATTAATGTCATCCCTAGCACTACAGTGTATATAACGTAGTTTACAAGCTGCAACAAGCAAAATTTCCTTATGAAGTTCTCTGCACCTATCCCAGTCACCATGCAGCTATACACAAATATCAGCTGTTCTTATTTATCAAGAAAAAGTGAGCCAGGAATCATGCAGTTTTATTAAAGCTACAGAACTGTAAATAAGCAGGAATAAACACTCCAAAGGTGTGAGTACAAAGCCCAGGAGTGCTATCTTCTGCTGACTGCGTGGGGCAAAGCAGCCCAGCCTTCTCAAAATGAAGCTGTCCCCTGACTTTCAGGAAACTGATTGATTCATTGGACAACGATACTGCAGAACCTCCACGGGGGAAAAAAGCAGCACTTCCTGATCCATACTGGGCTCTGAACACACTAAAAATGAGAGAGTGCTTTTGCAGCATATAATAATCTCTCCCTCTCAGTTTATCTGTCTGTACAACTGGGGATGAGAAAAACTATTTGAAAAAATATTTATTTGAAGTTCTCCTGAGGATTTATTTTACGGCTGTAGGTACTTAAATTTAGGAAACTTCTGCTGAGTAGGTCTCCTACAGCATGTACATATTGAGCTCTGATATGCAATCTTTCACTGTTTTGCAGCCCTCTGTTCTTTGCAAATCCTTGTAATTTGGTAAAACGCAACCCAGGTCTTGATCTATTCATAGCTGCAGTAAGAGCAGTCAGCTATTAAGTATTTTTATTTCCAGAGGCACACAGACTTTGTATATGCATGTATTTTTTTTTAAGTCATGATGTCTCCAGTTAATTATTTCAAGTACACTTTGTGACTCTGAAACAGAAATAAGCATCTAGGTATCATGTGAATTTACAATCTAGACATAAATATAGATTAGTTTAAATTATACGGCAGTTTACACCTATTGCCAGATCAAGATACTGTATTAAAAGAAATATTTTAATTTTCTCAGCCAATCATACTATTAGCATGTGTGGTGTACTGAGGTACCCCTGAGACCTAATTTTCTTGAGATTCATTTTTGATGTGTTTAAATACCTTTGAGAAAAATATCACTGATTCTAGGGCATTTATGTTTTTAGAGAAATGGTACAGACCATTAAAATTGTCTAAGTGACCTCTGATTTTAGAAATAGAAGTAGAAAGCTTAATTTCAAATTTCCTAATAATCATTTGCTTTTTTGGAGAAAACCATACTATTACTAAAATATAGACTTCTATATTTAGGTACAGCTGAATGTATATTTTGGCTAAGAATGTAGCACTTTCAATTATAACACTCACTGTGACAAATACAATTCAATTGTGACATTCAGACTGATGGGAGAAGTATCTGGCAGAAAAGAAATGGGATTCTTTGACTGAGACAATCCTGGAAGAATATGCAAACTCCCACAAATATTATCAGCAATATTATGTTTTGGATAGGGAGACAGTTTCAACACATAGTAAAGTTCTAAGACAATGGAGCAACAAACGTACCACTTATTTATTAAATATATGCTATATACCAATAATCTCCAAGCAAAAAAATGTTGAAAATTTGATTTTTTTTCAATTACCATATTTCATTTGTCTTAAAAGGAATATGACTTTAAATAGTTCCTGAAAATTTATTCTTATATTCTTAATATACAGTTACTTTTACAACTGTAGTGGTCCCGGCACAGATACCTCTCAATAGCTTGCTATGACAAAATACCAAGATATCAAGTACTGAATTCAAGTTTTAGTTATGGAAAGGTAGCTGTATTTTTTTTTGTTTTTTTAAGGCGGAGTTCTGACCACACAGAAAGTCTCTGTTTGGTCACAGCCTAATATTTATGTATTCAATAACACAATCAGCCATATAATAATGTAGTGAACACTACCTACCAATGACATTCAGTAAATCAAAAAAATAACTACCATATAAGCTGCCCTTATGTTAACAAGGAAATGGTCATATATTTAGCATTCTAATGACATAATACTAAATACATGATTAATTGGTCAATGGTTATATAAGATGGATATTCATATCCAATTTGTACATGGAAAAAGATCCTATATTCTATGAAATAGTGCACTAAACACATTATATCTACAAACATATCATCAAACTATTTGACTTTTTAACAATTGGGAAACATCTTATTTCAGAAAGCCTCACATTTTTCATCAGGGATATAAAGCCCACTTAATATTAGAAGTCACTAGAAT